TGCTAGGACACTCCGACCAAGGTTATTTATAGACACAGTGTATTGGGGCCTTACAGTTTCCGAGAGTTCCGACCGTCATGGTGGGGAGCATGGCAGTAGGCAAGAGCTTATTTAGATTTTGACACACAGACAGGAGGCAGAGAGCTAACTGGACAGGGTGTGGGCCTTTGGACCTCAATTCCCACCCCCACTGACACACCTCCTCCAATCATGCCCTACCCCCTGATCTTTCTCCTTTACACCAAGTGAGGTTCAAGCATTCAAATATATGAGTCTCGAGAGGCCGTTGTCATTGGAAGCACCACACCGTCTCTTACTACTGGAACTCACTCTGTAGACCAGGCTGGCCTCAAACTCACAGAGGTCCTCCCTGCCTCTGCCTCCTGACTGTTGGGATTAAAGGTGTGCGCCACTGCCCTTGCCCCCCCAACACCTGGCTGATTTCTTAATCCTGCTACTGTATTGAGTTTCTTTGGTGATAGGGATTTATGACGGCTTGGTTTCTCAATACATGAAGCAACTTGCCCTGGGCTCGCATACTTCTTGGTTGTTGCTTGTGGCCTGCACCCTGGTCAAGGTCTTCATGTCCTTGTCTTGGATCAGAGTCACTCAGGGCAGCAGTGAGGAGCAAATGGCTGAGGTGGCAGAATCCGCTGGGGAAAGATGGGAAGAACATTGGAGGCCTGGGACTGCTCTGAGCCCCTGCTTCTCATCTGAAAGCAGCTGATCATAGCAGGGACTTAGGGTGCTTGTGGGTATTTGAGACAGATGCCTGCTGCAAAGTGTGCCATGGAACAAAGGCCTGCAAATGTAAATGCCCCAGTCCCAGGCAACTTGTACAAGGGGCCTAAAAGCCGTATTTTATATTTTAAGAACTTGATAAAGAAGCCTTACGCATTCAGGGCTTGTTCTCAGCTCTCCCTGGAAAGAGGAGGGGATTTATAGCTCTTCAGCAAAGGTTACCTCATGATGGACAAAGCAATCTCAAGTACCCCAGAAGCCTTCGGGCCTCAGGCCAGAGCTATTTTTAACACTGAGTTGACAGCAGCTAGTTCAAGTTGTAACACTCCTGACTTAATTACAAAGGCCAGCCGTTCCTTCCCACAGGTGGGTTTCAGCAGTTCCTAGAGTTAACAAAAGCTAGGGGGTTCATGTTCAGTCGTCCGTCCGTCCGTCCGTCCGTCCATCCATCGCCCCCCCCCCCACCTCCCCTGCAAGCAGTTAATCCTGGGACCTCTTACATCACAGGCAAGTACTCTTGTGTCATCTGCGCCCCCCTCTTTTTAAAGTTTGAACTTCTAGGACTTCACTCAGTTACCCAGACCAGTTTCAGGCTTGTGATCCTCCTCCTGTCTCCCCCTCGTAAGTTCCTAGGATTACAGACTGGTACCTCGGTCCCAGCAAATTGTTTGAAAACTGGTTTAGAATATGAAGTTAGGAGTCAAATTTGCATTTGAATCCCATTGATAGTTTGATTGGACCCTCATAGTCATAGTCCCATAAATGGTTACTAAAAGAGTCTCCTTCAGATATGTTTGTATGACCTCTGGCATAGTAAATATGTTAAAAAAAAAGATACTTATAAACATTATTGGTTGAAAAATGTCCAGCTTTTATGTATCATGTCCAAATTTTTTCCTCTAAATTGTTTAATTTGGAGAATTTTGTGGTTTTATGCAAACTTTAAGGGTTTTGTTATTTTTGTTACTTGTTTCTGTTCCTTTAAAAAAAAATGTCACTGGCTTTTTTTTAAGGGTTTTTGTTTTGTTTTTTTGTTTGTTGTTTTGAGATAAGGTGTTTCTGTGTAGCCCTGGCTGTCCTGGAACTCACTCTGTAGACCAGGCTGGCCTCGAACTCAGAGATCTGCCTGTCTCTGCCTCCCCAGTGCTGGGGTTAAGATGTGCCCTACTGTGCCTGGCTATGTCACTGGCGTTTTGATAGGGATTGTGCTGAATCCATAGACTGCTTAATAATACTGTCATTTTAACTATATTCTGATCCATGCACACACGGTTATCTTTATTTATTTGTATCCTTTTCAGTGTCTTTTATAAATATTTTGTGGCTTCCTGTCTACAGATCTCTTCTTGCTTTAATTTGTTCCTAAG